GGCCAGGCTACGGAGGAGAGAAGCATCTTCAGGGTGGCGGATGGTCCTGAATGGGATGTCCAACCTTGGCCACTTTTAAGGCTTGTGGACTTCAATTGCCAAGCCAGCTTCAGAATTCTGGGAGGTTTGGAATTTTAAGTTCACAAGTCTTAAAGTAGCCAAGATTGGACAGCTCTGGTTTACTGGGAAAAAAAAAGGGGGGGGGGGTTGATTGTCCTTGCCCCCGCCCCCCCCCAGAAAGGGGCCCCGTCCTTCCTGTTTCCCCCCCCCCCCCCCCCATTGGCTCAAAGGTCACATTTCCTTCCCAATGGTTTCTCCTGAGTAAAAATTTAGAACCAGATTACCCTGCTTGGGGGAATCATATTTTTACAGAGGAGATCCTGTTCGATCCAGCAAAGCTGACTGGAGAATTCTGGGAGTTGAAGTCCACAAGGCTTAAAGTGGCCAAGTTTGGGGACTACTGGTCTAAAGGGAGAAAATGACTCTGGCCAAATCCACGTTACAAACTGAGCCAAATCGGATTTGGGGCTTGGCGTCAGGCCGTCAGCCAATCGTAGTGTGATTCTCTTCCCCTTCAGGGTGAGGGATGGCCAATGCAGACCCCTCTCCCTCTCCCCAGACAGTCCCCTGAGTCGGGACTGCTGACAAGTTAAAGGGTGGGCAACTCTAGGCGACTGTGGATCTGAAAGAAAACCTGGTGGATCTAAAGGGGCTTTGGCGATCCCCTTGAATTAATGTCCTCCTTTCCGGCTCGATCCGAGTATCTCACTTTGGTTCAATTCTTTGGAGTGCCACCTGTCCAGACAGGGCAACAAAGCCCCCTATTCAGGACCCTCCCCTTTAGGGACAAAAGAGCCTCGTTGAGCCTGGCAAGAGTCTTGTGTGCATCTGCCTAGGAGCGGGCATAGCCCTGCTTGGCAGCCGGCGGCCTTAGGAACCTTTTCCAGGTGGCCCAGCCGCTATTTTTCCTTCTGGCGTGCCTGGTCTGCCTTGGCACAGAGGAGCTCGAGGAAAGATGGCAACTGGGGCACCCTGTGACGCGCACAATGCAAGGCTCCCCTTTCTGAAGAGTCCTCCACGTCCCAGAAAGGCCCTGGCGCCCCTCCGGCCTCCGCCCGAGTAGCATCTCTTCCCAGACCTGCCCTTCGCGACACAGCAGTCACAGAGATGGACGTCTTCTTCCTTTCCTGGCAGCCCCTTTGTCTCTGCGGAGCGAAGGGTCCCTTTTCCTTCCTTGGGCTGCCCCTGGTGAGCCTGGATTTGGCCTGCTCTCCTCAGATGTGGCAGGGGCCTTCCCAAGAGCTCGGTGGCAAGGGGCACTACCCTTGAGTCACCCACGGTGTGGAGAACTGAGGTGGGAGCAGCTCTGTGGCCTCGAGGCCTGGCATCTTTGCAGCTCCCTGAAGAAGGGGACTGCTCGTTTTAGGCTGTTTGGATGTCCACAAGAGGGCTCTTCCACCAGCCCCCTTCAGGGCAGTCCTGTAGGTGAAAGTAGGCGCCACTGAGCTTAGCAAGGCTTCCATCCAGGTAAGTGGCTTGTGGGTGGCTGTCTTTAGAAGAAAGGCGTGGGATAGTTGACACCAGCCAGAGTACAGCAGCCCATTGTGGGATCGCAATGCCACCCAGGCCGGGTTTTTCTAACCCAAAGTGGCTGGAATCTGCATGAGGTTACCGGATCGCTTGAGCTTTCCAGATTCTTGCATGATAGGCAAGGTTTCCGGTGATCTGGGCCAGGGGCCTCCAAATTTGGCAACTTGAAGACTTATGAACTTCAACCCTGGCTGGGGGATTCTGGGAGTTGAAGTGCATCAGTCTTCAAGTTGCCAAATTTGGAGGTGCCTGATTTGGGCCTCTGTGCATGAGGTTCCCTGCAATCTTGATGGTGAGATTCCTGCCTTTCATCTGAACGTTATTCTGTAGAGCCCAACTGTGATCTTGCCTGATGGCCCACAGCACCTGAAGAGCTCACGGTGGGGAACACCTGCATGCATGGCAGGGCTGTCCAACTTTGGCAACTGCAAGAATATGCTGGCTGAGGAATTCTGGGAATTGAAGCCCACACGTCCAAAGGGTTGCCAAGGTTGGAGATTCCTGATGTCAAAGCATCCTCCACAGGGAGCTCTGCAGGTGCTTGGTGCCATCAGGCAAGATCGCACTTCAGGGTCAAAGAATTTTGCACAAGCATGCTTTTTTGCACAAAATCTGCCCTTTGGGGCAAGCACGAAGGGTCTCCTGGCCCAGAGCAGGATGGGCTTTGAAACATGGAGTGCAGTTGAAGAAGGCAGCGAAACCGTAACAAGCGAAATCCTTGAGGATTTCCTCAACTTATAGAAGTCTTTTGCCACTTCCAAATCCCAAACACTACACAGAGATGAGGGTTGTGAAATCTCGACCGAATAAGTGAAAACGTTCCCTTGGGCTCGCGCTAGGTGCCCTCCAGCCACCACCATCCATGGTTTTCCCAGGAACGTGGTACAGCCTGCACGTTTTCTGACCAAGAGCTCCCAGGAGCCTCTTTCTGCCTTGTGCTGGTGCATGAAAGGAGGGCCTGCTGGATTTGGAGGCCACTGAGTCCAGGAATGGTTACTAGGAGGTCCAAACGGGTCATAGCCCACCTGCCCTTGCCTCAGCTGAACTGCAAGCCCCGTGGGAGAATTCCACGGAGCTGCACGCGATGGCTGAGCACAGAAATGCCCAGGAGGGTCATCTCGTTTCCAAGCAACTTCTGATTTTAGGATGGGACTGGCTTTCTTCCTGCCTTTGTCCCAAGTCGACCGGTTATGCGTGAAAGTTTGTTTGTGGTTGCATTGCCTGCTAAATGGGTTTTGCAAGCATTAAATAATCTGTTCAGGTGACTGTCCTATGCACACCTCCCTGCTGTTCGGTTGGTGTTGATGGGTTGGTGTTGATGGGTGAACTCAGAGTCCAGCAGAAGGACATGGCCTGGCTAGTCCAGCCGGGCATCAGGTCCTACAGGAGCAAATCACTGTAACAGAGTTGCTGTTTCACCGAGTGACTCTCCAAGCCACACACAGCCATCCTCCAGGCTGTTTATCTTAAATGGAAGCGTTCCAGAGAATTCCACAATGTTCTCCTACCTTCTGGCCCAGAATTTTGTGGGTTCCAGGCACAGACCCCAATGGCTCTTGCTTGAAGAGTTGCCCGAAGGCTCCTTCCGAGCGATGGCGCTCAAGACTGTTTGGGGAAGGTTTCAGGCGTTAAACACTAAAATTATAGAGATGCATTTCCAATCACGAATGAAGGCGATTAATGGTTTAGATACTTTAAATCCTTCGAGGTGCCAACTGATGCTCAAACATACAAAGGAATGTCACTTACTAAATCTTACGTGCGTAAGCTTGCATGTGAGCTGTTAAAAAGCAACTTTTTTAAGATCCTGAGACAGAAATTTTCTTGGAGTGAGAGAAAGGGGGAAATGCCTCCCCAAAGGTGGCCTGCACTCCTTAGATGTAGAACTTATTTAGCATATGGCACAACGTACATGGACTTTCAATAGGTATTAACATTTCACCTAGATTAAAAACACAGTAAAATAGGGATGTTAAAAAGACCTATATTCAGATACTAATTTCCAAATGTGGAAATATATTGTAGATTCAGAACCCCTCCTTGAGGGAGATAGGAGGTCTAGAAACCCAAAGTATAAATAAATAAATAAGCATAAATAACCATTAGAGAAGGGGGGCTTAGTATGGAGTTGTTAGGTGAGAGACGGGCTGAGACCAGCTCTGCGGCAGGGATTCGGTTGCTCTGGTGGATGAGAAATAGGGCTGCCTGCCTCCCCGCCATCCACCCCCCTTCTGCCTAGAGGGGAGAGCAAAGGCCAGCAGAAGGCAGGTGGGTCTTGTCCATCTGGTTCTCCTGCTTGATATTGTTCTGACCCAAGCCTCGTTCAAATCAAACAAATGCAAAACAGAGATAACAAGCAAAACCTTTTCAATGGGTCTCTGTGAATTCAGTTCATTCACAGTAAAACGCTATTAAAACTAATTGTCCCAGATAAGAGCAAGCCCTGTCAAGGTTGTGCAAGGCTGCCAAGAACACAAGATAAATTGCCAGGAGATATTCAAAGCCAAAAGTCTCCGGAAAAAAAACCAGGATAGACCAAACTTCCACAAGACTTGAAGTGCAAGAACTTCTTTGCTTCCTGCAAAGAATCCCATCTCTGAGGGCTGGCTTTTATCCCTTAAGGGAGGGGCCATCACCTTGCAGCCTTACTCCCGAGTCGCCTGTGCTGCTGCAGCTGCTCTTCCCTTCAAGCAGCCCTGCGCACACGCACCCTGGGCACAGGCTCCTCGGGGACCTCTTCATCACTGCTGCCAGCCTCCACAACCTCCAAAGGCAGCCCTTCACTCGCTGATGGTCCTGGCCCCATCCCTGCCTCACACGCAGGCCCCTCGTCCGAGTCCTCGCTCTCCGAGACCTCAGCCATCTGCACCTGCTGCCGGCCAACCACAACAGATATCGAGGAGGCTGGAATTATGTAAGGGACCCAGGGCTGGACCATTAGATTGCGTTGTTGGTCTTTGGACAGGCAGGCCCAGCAGCTCAAGTGGCCCGGAGGTCTTCCCTAGAACATTTCTGGTTGCAGCCCTGCCTGGAGGCCACTGGCGTCTTGGAAGCCTGTGCAGTTCGTGTTCACTCGTGGCATGATGGCCTCCTGGTTCTTCAGGAGATTGGCGGGTGGGCAGGGACCGTATAAATGTGGTGCCTCCACACCTCTGGAGATACCTTGGCGAGAGAGTGGCGGTTGGACTGTGTGTCCAAGCTTGCAGATGGAGTCATGCTTGTGCTTGTTTTTCTTTTCAAGGCCTGACCACCTGAATGGGCATATCAAGCAGGTGCACACATCAGAGAGACCTCACAAATGCCAGGTAGGTATCCTGGGACGGGGTGGAGGTGTTCGTAAGAATAAAACCAAGCATGCGCTTGCAGTGAAGGTGGGGCCCCTGGGTGGCCGTTGCTTGCAGTGGAGTCCGGAGGCGGTTGGGCCTCTTGGCCGCTTCCTGATGTCCTCTTTGGCTTCTTCCCTGGAAGACCCTCCCCAGCCTTGGACCCCTTTCTTTGCAGCTTGGCTTTCCCCACTTAGAGACGAGGGTTCTCCATTCCTTTGTCTCTTCTTTCTGCCTGTCCACCAAGGACTGGCCATGGTTTGGGGGCAGCATGAACCAGCCCCTGGACACCTTTTCCCGGATGCCCCCTCCCTGCCTGAGCAGCCTTCAGAACATCCCAATGGGAATCGGTTCTTGCTTCTTCCTTGCTTTTCTCTCAGAGGCTTCCTTGTGGCTGAAGCAGAACAAGAGCAGGCAAAGCACGTGCAGAGTTTTCCTTCCGGTGGCCTAAATTTGTTAGCAGCTGAAGTTTACAGCTCAGAGATAACCCACCGAAAATGGAACTTTTGTTGTTCTTTTGATCTAATAGGATTTGAAGGAAAAGCTTTTTCCCCTTTGCACTAAAACCAAGCAATTTAGAAACGGTGAAATTCCTGTCCAGCTGTGGCTGCAGGGGCCTTTTTTCCCCCCTCTCGCCCACAATTGTGTAACCCCCCTCCCCCATTTCCTTTCCCCCATGTCAAGCATGTTGGGCCGGTCTTTCCAGCCTGGATATCCTCAGGAAGGTGGGCTTTAGCTCTCGGAATACCCCAGGGCTGCTGCTGCTGCTGCTGCTGCGAATTTGGGAGGGGAAGGCACACATCGGCCGGGTGCCGGGGGAAGGAAAGTCTGGTTGAGCCCCAGAACTCTGGTGGGAATTACAGGGGATTAAGTGTCCACTGAGCATGGGTTGCATTTTGGGATTTGTTGGCAGAATTAATAATACAGGGAGTCTTTGACTTACGACCGTTCGTTTAACAACGGTCTGAAGTTGCAGCAGTGCTAGAAAATGTGACTTATGGCTTGTCCTGAAAGTTATGACCATTGTAGCACACACACACACACAACCATGGTCATGTGACTACAATTTGGGCGCTTGGCTTGCATTTACAAGGGTTGCAATGTCCTGCGATCACGTCATCACAGTTTGTGGCCTTCCTGCCGGCTTCTGATCAGCAGAGGAAGCAGATTCACTCAACGACCACGGTAAAGAAATGGTCGTAAAGTTAGCTCCAGTCACGTGATGACCTTCTTGGCAACCACATTGCTTAGCGATGCAATTTCTGGTCCCAATTTTCATAAATTGAGGACTAGCTGTAATAGATCCCAAACCAAGATTGGGAGGACTACAGGCTGCTGGTTTGGGGGTGGAGGGCGGGGGCAAGAGGGGCTGGGGGGGGGAAGGGGGGAGGGGGGGGGGGTTGTTTTAAGCTGCTGTGGGGTTCGTAGCATATTCTGTTAGAAATGGGCAGTAGCAGCCCTCAATCAAGTCTTCTGGAATCAGCCAGGAATAAGCAGAAAATGAAATCACACCCTGCAACCCTGCAAATGGGGAGGAAAGTATTATTTTTTTTTAAAAAAAAAAATTGGCTTGACAAAGTTAAACGTTAGCAGGTTTCTCTTGGGAGGAAATGGTCATAGGAATGCTTTGCATATTTTTACTTGCCGGAAAAATGGTGAACGTTCACCCGGAAGGGAAGTGGGCTTGTTCGGGGATGGTATTTGGCCTTGAAAGATGCTGAACCTGGCACGAGTTGGGGTGGGGGTTGTTGTCAGGGCTGGGCTCAGTTGTTTTCCAGGTGAGCCTGTTCGGTTGTTTCTCTTTCTAGGAGTTGCTAATTGCCAATAATCACAACCAGTGCATTAATTAGGCAGAGCTGTTCCTTGCCGCTGTCGTCGGCTGTAAATTCAGCGACAGTCAAGGGGTCTCTTGAGGCGGATCTGCTCTTTCAAGGAAATACAGAACAAGCTGAACCCCAATCCTAGCTGCATCTCCTTCATCTTGTCTGGACTTAACCACGGTTTATTTGCCTTTGTCCAGCCCTGGCAAGAAAACCAGCTGCTTCCATTCAGATGTGGGGAAGCAGGAACACAGCTGGGTCTCTCCCCCCATTCAGCAGGGACTTGGCCCTAGGGCTCCTCTAGCCTCATGTAGATGTTCACGTGTGCTAGGAGCAAGTTGGCCCTGGGGCATCACAGAGCAAACCTAGGCACCAATTTCTGGTAGGGGGTATCATAATCGAACAGGAGAGGTGGGCTCGTTGTAAAAGAGTGCCCCCGTCTCAAGACTGGTGTGCTTGGTGGGACTGAAATCTTGGGAGGTCCAGGAACAGGTGGAGTTGGAGCAGCTGCATGGTCCTTCGGATGCCCTGAAACTATAATGCCCCTGCATGACCAATCACTTCGCCAGAAATAGGATGTTGGAGATCAGCTATGAGATTCTCCAAGTCAAGGGAAGTTTCCTTTAACAAAGGTTCTTATTGTCTGCTTTAGTCAGGGACCCTTTTTGGCTATTGTGGGTATTTCCATCACCGGAGGTTTTGAAGAAGAGAATGGGCAGTCATTTGTCCAGAACGACATGGGATCTCCTGCTTGAGCAGGCGGGGTTGGACTAGAAGACCTCCAAGGTCCCTTCCAACTATGTTATTCTGTATTCCATTCACCTGTCGGTGAGCAAAGGGCAAGCTCTCCTTACCAGACCCCCTTTTGTCCTTTCAATATCGGGAGGCGCGTACACCCCCTCCCCAAAATCCTGCCTAGCTAATCAGCCAGCCCCCCCGTGACTATGTTTTTCTCCTCGTGGCCTCACACCCAGATGTGAGCAGCGCTTCTATGCTAGTTAGATAGTTAGAATTCTTTATTGGCCAAGTGTGATTGGACACACAAAGAATTTGTCTTTGGTGCAAATGCTCTCAATGTACATAAAAGAAAAGAGACATTCATCAGGAGTCAAGAATCATACGGTACAACACTTAATGACAGCCATAGGGTACAAGAGGCAATCAAATCATACCAGGAAACGGTCAGTTTAAAGAATAGAATAGAATAGAATAGAATAGAATAGAATAGAATAGAATAATAGAATAGAATAGAATAGAATAGAATAGAATAGAATAGAATAGAT